TATTCATTCCTTTAGATGTTTTCAAATTAAGTTGCAAGTAATGTACAAAATTCGAGAACACAGCTGAACCTGCTTCATATTATTTAGCTATTTCGCTTATCTTCCACTACATCAAAAATTCTGTGCAAACGATTTCAACTTTAAATATTCATTGCAACTTATTTTCGTATATTTTTGGCATATCTATCTGTAATGTATAGATTTTGATAACGAAATTTCATTTCGATTAAATTTTTAAAATTTCATTCCTATGCTAAAGGAAGGCTAGCAAGTGAAGCTAATAAGGAAAAGCTTTGAGAAATGAAAGATTTGAGAAAATTTCGAGATTTTAATTTACTAACTTTTGTTAATTTACTCTAATAGGCCATTTACATCAAGTAAATTGAATTTATAACTGCATTTAAGGCGATAAGAGTAAGCAATCTGCAATGTATATGTCGTTGACATGCGGTCGTTTAATTAACTGAATTCTTCCAAGCATGTATGAAGTACTAATTTTCTAGAAAACAACATTCCAGGTTGCTTGGACAAGTCTTCTTGTCAGCTAAATGATTTGAATCTAACTTAGATTAAACTTTAACTTGAAACCTATCTTTGATTTGTAATATTATTTAGAAATATTTGTGCTTATATATTATAGTATGACAGAATAGATTGAAATGCAAAGAAAGAATGCAGTCAGTTATTAAAACTGCTGAAAGCTTCAATCAAATTACCCTTGAAACTAATATTTGAGTTCAATTACTGAAAATGTTTGAACTACTGTGGAACACAAATTCTTCATTATTTTCAAATTTAACACAAAATAGTAAGATTTTTATTCAAAAGACTCCTTCGCTTGAGCAATTAGCACTACAATAAATGCGTAAATAAATAACAATTCTTTTGAAAGTAATGAAAATTTGAATTGAAAGAGTTGCTTCAGAATATAAATAAGTAATATCTTTGTACAATATAAATAATTGCATAAACTTTTTTATTAGTTCTTTAAGTTATAAGTTTGAATCAAAATATTGAAAGTAAATGAAGTGAGAATGTTTGTAGTCTGAAAGTTTTTATTTTATTGATAAAATACACACACAGAATAAAATAGCTTATTTAAAATTTCTTTTGCAGAATAAAGATGAATAAATTGAAAAAAGAAATTAGAAATAAATACAATCAGAAACTGGGGACGTCTCCAAATGTTAATCTAAAAGTTGTAAAATTCATTTTCTTTTCTACCGTTGCAGTAAAAAGCCAAGCGAAAATAGCCAAAAGAAAAAAGAGCCTAGCAACAAAAAAGGAAATTTTAGCTTTTTTGCCTTTGATTGCAATTCTTAGCCGTTTAATTTTTAGCTAAGAAAGGAAAAAAAATTAATTTCCAATTATTATTGCTTCTCAACAAATCATACTTGTTCAAATTTTTATGCCTTCAAAATCAATTAATAACATTTTATGGGTTTTGTAAAATAAATTTTCCACTTTTATCAAATTACAAGTAATAACTTTTCAAGTAATAACTTTTCTTTCTCCGTAATAAATTTTCAACTTCCCAACAAAACGTGCTGAATTTGTAGCAAAAAAATATGCATATTTTTTGATTTACATTGTATTATAATTTCTATTCATACCTCACTCAAAATTTGTGCTTTTTTTGCAAGTCAAAATTTGGAAGTAAGTATACTTTACTTCTTTTGCTGTCCTTTTCATTTTTCGAGTAATTTTTTGTGACATATTGATGAGGGATAAAATGTTAAGTCATACTTATTTTTGGTATTGTTTATTTGCTATTTTTCAAGCATCCATCTATTTTATTTTATTAACTTTTTTCCAACACTTTTTGTTAAAAAAAGTACTGTTTAAAAGGTTAATCAGTTAGTTATTTAATTAAGTAATTTCGAACAGATTCCAACTATGATTAAATTCTTTAAATTCAAAACTTTCATTAGTTCACAATGGATTGCTAGGACAGATGCGCTTAAAATTCAAACAAAAAAATGGTACTTATATGCGATATATAGCACATTCGATCATGCATTACTGAATTAGTTATTAAAAGGTAAGCATTAAAGTGAAAAAATCGGATAAAGTTACTGCTACGAAGCAAATCGAAAGCACAATGCTTTCTAAAGGGATTATATGCAAATAAATTTCGTTTCGTTCAATTTAGAGCTTCGACCATCGAAGTTTTAATTAACTTTTCAACGCTTGAAACCTTTGACTTGTTTCAAAACAAAGCATCACTGCTTGTAATTACTAATTTTGCAAAATTTTCATCACTTTTTTATTTGAAACCGAAAAAAATTTTTCAAAATTTGAAATATTTTAGAAATAATTTCAAAAAAGAGGCAAATATATTCAAATTTGAATCAAATTTCTACAATTTGATACTTTTTGGCGCAGTTATGATTGGAATTATAAAATAACGCAAATGTAGCCTACTCGTGGTTTGAAGCAAATTTTTCGTATGTTTTTTGATAATAAGGTCCAAGTTGATTAGCTGTGAAATTTATTGAGATTAGAATTTTAATAAAACACATAACCTGCATTGAACTCATTCCCTGCATAGCTTATATAGCAATTACGGAAACGAACAGCTGAATTTGACAATAAATTTTTGGAGTTGTTCATTGCGGATTATTTGTAAATGCAAATTTCAGTTTTGAACGCGTATTAGTCAATAAATGAATATGAATTGAGCTTCTTTCTTCAAATTTCAAAAAAAACATTTTTTTCAGGGCATTTCACGCTCTGCTTCTCTTTCTCATAATTCCACAGAATATACTTTAAGATTATTAGAAAGCTTGAAACTTAGTGAGTAAAGGAGATAAAAATATCATTAAATTAATAATTAATATCAGCAATATAAGCAAGAAGAACAACAACGGCCCTAACAAGTCATTTTTCGGTTCTATAAATTAGCATCAATTTATTGAATAAAATTTACTTACGAAGTAGTAGCAACTTTTGCGCCATATGAAGTATAAAAAAATTAAGTCAACAATGCACACACGCCTGATATAAATTCATTTATTATACAAAATACTTCTCAATTTTACTTTAGTCTGAGTAAAATCAGGTTAGTGGGGTAAGGTATAAAAATCAAGTCAGAAAGTAGCATTAACTTAAATCTTCTTGCCGAATGCAAATGACTTCAAGGCAAAGTAAAAAATGAATACTCAGAAAGGGTTGCGACGATTCCTAAGGCTTTCATTCTTTTTTTTGAATCAAATTCTGATTTACTTCTAAATCCTCAAAAACTACTCACTACTTTACTTTTGCAGGATAAACGCAATTATTTGCATGGAAATGATTAAGAAGCCAAGTTGACAGGTCAAATGCTTCTAGCAAATTTACTTTTACTCTCAGCGATAATCTAACTTGGCAGGTATGCAAACTGAGATCAACGGTCAAGAAGTCTAATTTGTCTCAGTAATAACTTGTATCCTTCCCATGCATTACACATTTTTTTTATATAGAGGATGTGCTAAATCCCAATTTGATCCTTTTTTAGATTAGTAAGATCAGTCCAAACTTTCAATTTTCACACTACTGATTGGCAGATCTTTATTTAGATTCTGCAGAAACCTAAACTTGAGTAAACTTCACAACATGTGTCTTATTCCTGAAGAATTTTTTCATACATCTTGAAAAATATGTTTTATTCATGAAGAATTGAAAATACTACCATTACTTCATATCAGCAGTAAAATAATGCGGTTCCTAAGAAGCCAAAAATAAACAGTATTATATGGCTTTGTAACATCGTACATCACAATTCCAAACTTGGTCAAGAAAATGCAAAAGAAGGAATTTCATTTTATTCAAATTTTCATACTCATTCACGCATTAAGACTGTAGTAAGCGAAACGCAACAAAATCTATGAATATCGTCATTATATATACAAACACAATGAGAATTATGACAGTATTTCGCAGTGAAAATGGTCAATACGCAAAAAATGCAAGTTTAAATGTTCAGTAAAGTTATTAAAACACGTAAACTGTAATGTCACGTGTGTAGAGCAAATAAACTTAGGAGAGAAGTAAGAAAGAAAACTGAAAAATACACTGCAAAATGTTTACAGTAAGATAATGCTTTCTTAAAATAAAAAATGAAAATAAAAGCACATCTGAAATACAAAAAATATGGGATAAGTTGCAGCAAATAATAATAGAGAAAATGCCTGAGGCATAAAAATACATTACAAATAAAATGAAGATAATTTGATTTTGAGTGAAGTGAACGAACTTTATACGAAAGAATCCTCACTATTTTTGATTATAGCAAAGACTTATACCAAAGAATGCTTAAGATATGGTACTCAAATACTCAAAAACTAACTTTCAATTCATCTTAATACTTCAGATTTATGCTTTAGAAACATTTGAGAAAATGCCAGTTCGAACTAAAAAGCTTTAGGATTCTATAAAATCATCGGTATTGAAAATAATTGCAACATACTACAGTTATCTCATCAAATGTCCTATGGCTGTGATTCTATTTTTAGATTTAACAGTGAATGTTCAGTTGAAAAGTGAATACAATCAGTTCATGAATTTAGCACCGAAAAAATTATTAGCTAAAAAGTATAAAAACAAGTGAAAAACTTTTAAATATTTTGGTAGTCAATTTTTTGCGAAGCTAAAATGAATGCAAGAATTTTTGAAAGTGGATATTCGTTTGAGTATAAAGACACTGTAACTCATATTAGTATTTGTGGAATGTATGGCAAATAATTCAAGCATACTATGGCAATCTGTCAAAGCATACAAAAATATGTACTTCAAAATTTGAAATTTTTATCCATAAATTAGTAAAAGTTATGAATTACTTGAAGTTTGCACATAATCTAAGTTATAATATTACAAGAAACTTTAATACATTCAGTACAGTTTGCAAACTACAACTAAAATCTAATTCTGAAAGCGATTTACACATCATTATCATTAACTGTTTGTTAATTCGCAGTGTTATATCATCATCTTTCTCCTCTTCCAAATGTATCATTTATCTATCAATCACTGTTAGTGATTTGAGTATGAGGTAACTGCGGTAATTCGAACATTTTAAAATTAGAGGCTCGTTTTGATAAGATTGGATAAAGTGATAAATAATTTCGCGGTACCAAACCACGATTACATGCTTCATCATCACTTTTGCAAGTATCATCTTCAATCTTACAAAACCACCAAAATTTAGTGTTAAGATTGTCTTCAAGTATTTGCAAACATGAACCTGCTCGAAAACTTAGCTCATCATCGTGCTTTTTGTCATAATCATATGCTGCATACATCTATAACGATTCGATTCATGAATTAAAAATCAATCAAAAATCTTCAAGAATAAAAACTGTTAGTTTTGTAGAAATACTTTCTGCAAAAAAATTAATAATAATTAAAGTACAGGATCTAAGACTTACTGGAGCAAAATATTAAATTGACATAATTTACTATTAGATATACGTGAAAATTAAAATTTGCATAACTTACAAGTTTATTATTTACAACACCAATCGCTTCCACAGCAATTTTCAAGTACAACTGACAACCTTCATAGCCATCTTCATCCTCTTCACACTTGTCAGACGGTGTTTCAAGATCAGATAATGTCTGAGCGAAAATACAAGCACCACTTTCAACTAGTAATTTTACCATTGGCAAATTATTACATGAAGCTGCGCAATGCAATGGAGTCCAACCATCAGAATCCTAAAGGATGAGAAAAAATTTTCTTAGTGATCAAAACTTTTTGCAAAACATTAAAATTTAAACAATTTTAAAGAAATAAAAATTAGCACAAATAAATGTATTCATGTAAGATTTTTAATGTAAATTGTAGTAAATAAAATTTTAAAGGAAATAAAAACAAGATTTCGCATTACCCGCGCATTGACATCAGCTAACGAATCTATTAAATAGCGGACAATCTCATAGTGACCAGCACAAATCGCATTATGCAAAGCAGTAATACCTTCATCATTACACGCTGATATATTTGACAACTGCAAGCAACAAAAACTCGTTTCAAATTTTTGCATGAAAAAAATTATCAAAGTATTGTATTTTTTGAACATAAACTAGTCAATTTCTCAAAATTGCTAACAAATACTTCTACTTCAATGTTTAATTATGAATTCGACTGTTGTTTACTTTTTAAAAATATACCCAAATAATCCGCATTCATTTGAAAACTTTCAACTAAGCAATCTGTACAATAATTTAAGAATATAAATCGAACGCTATTAATTTCGGACAATTAAAAACTTAAATACAAAAAGTTTTTACAATAGTCTTAACGTTAATTACAAAGACACCTTTGCAGCACTTGTTTTGACCAAATCCATTTCACCTTCCAAAGCGCCATCTAATAACAGCGCCAATGGATCAAAAATAACTTTTTTTGGAATATTGTTCGTCTTTTTTTCAATATTAAGAATCCCCTGAAAATTATTTTTTATCAATAAACATAGAAAAACTATTCCTTTTAAATCAAGCATCTTACGCAAGCTTTAGCAATGAGCAAAAAACATCGGATTAGTGAACTGTCCAATTTTTATCACTTCAGTTTTATCTTTCTGTTATCAAATTCACACTTAATAATTAAAAATGGCAAATATTCTATGTTCACAGCCGAAGACAAATTCGGTCCTCTTACTGTTTATGATAGAATTAGCAAGAAAACAGACCCAAGTTTATATGCACACCGGAAAAATAACTAAAAAACAGTAAAAAGTATTGCATGAATAACCTTTTCAGGAGGTTGTTTGATCAGTTGCATATCTAAAATATTGTTTTCCATTTCTGTTTGCGTGGTTTTTTCTTCGATCAATTCGTCTTCATCAACTGACATGGAAACTTCAGGATATTTCTCAAGCACAAACTCATTTTCGACTGGCAATTCATCCAGTTGAATATCTTTCATTGCTAATTCACATTCAACAAGTTCTTTTTCATTACTATTTTCAAAGCGTAACTTTTCATGATCAGTAATTAGCATATCTGGGATAGAGGTTTCGTTTAGAGGAGTGGCAGTCTAAAAAGTAACAATCCAGTGAACCACAAGAAATCTGCTATTACCGAAGACTGCTGAAGAATTACGAGAAAATATGAATTAAAACCATCTCAAAACCAACTTTGTCATCAATCTTGTATTTTTACACAACAAAGCGTTGTGCAAGTATGCTGAAAATTACAAAAAAATGACTTAAATATTACAGAAAAAAATTGTACATTTGAAGATTTTGCAGAAAAGCAAATAAATCTGAATATCTATCTGTACCTTATTAAAAAGAGAAAAAAGATCGCCAATATTGCACCCAACCAACAAATGCGTACGACCTTTTTTCTGTTCATCAAGTAGAATCTTTCGAATATGCTCCGTTTCGTTGCACTGAGAATTGTCTTGAACTGCCCAAGATCTGAAACAATTAAATTCATAAATTCTGACCACTTTTCAAACTTATTAATTGATTCGAAATATGCGAATAAATTGTGAATATACAAAGAAGGACGTTGAGAGCTCTAAATTCTAAGGCAAAAAAGTATATGTATTTAAATGAACCTTCGCTTTGCAGCACGTATTGTGTCTGGTCTTATGGATATTTGATCAGCTTTTGTCAATTTCGCGTTTTCTATTAAATTTGTATTTACCAATTCATTTTCTACTACTACACAACCATCATTTTCTGATGCAACTTTTTCAGATTTGTCCAGTGAATGATTATCAACAGCTTCCGATGGTTTCTTAGTAACTGAGGTTTGTTTACTACTGTGATTAGTCAGATTCAACTGTATTTCATTCGATTCAGATGCTTCATCTACTTTATCACACGCATCCTCATGAGTTGGATATGGATCTTTCGGTGGGGAAGGTGAAATGTCACGATTCAGTGCACTGTCCCTTATACTTAAGTTTCCTCTGAAACATTACTAAATAACAACTAAAATACTCCCTAAATGATTACATTATTTAAGCCACGAGAAAGTTTAAAAAACTGTTCCTTTTTAAATCTCAGAGTTTTTTCATGCCTCCAATAAAGTCAGATCTAATTGCAGTTCTTATGATTTAAGCAAAGAAAAATCAGTTCCAGTATTTAAGTATTAGATTTACTTGTCTTAAATCAGTTGGCATGCTAGAAATAATAACCAAATTAAACAGTTCATACTATTTACATCTCTGCAGAATTATGTAACAGTTAACTTTGCTCAAAAGAACCTTTTATGTTTAAAAAATTTTCTTAAAAAACTGTGATGATTATTAACTCACTTATTTTGTTCAGAAGTAGAAAAATTGCAAGGTTTTGCTGGAAACTGAGGAGAACTAGTGGAAGCGAACTCCTGTCTGGTATTTATCAAAAGTTTTGATTGATTAACCTAAAACCATCTCGATTAATCATTACTGTCGGATGAGACTATCGTGGTAATGCATTTTTTCACATTGTACCATAATTATAGCTTATGAGTAGTAAAATTAGATCAATCAAGGAAAATCGTGATTCAGTTTGTTATGGCTATAATAATTTATTCATAATGAACTTAAATCTGATTCTGAAAATTTTTAGACATCACTAGCATACAACAAATGTACGCAAATCAGTTATGGCAAATAACGTGTGAATAAATTAGATGAACTGATCATATTATTGATGAATTACCTGAAATGGCTCAACAGATGCTTGTGGTCGATTGGAAACATCATGAGAGAAATTGTGTCTTGGTTTCATGTGATGCGGACAATTTCTATATCTCACTATATTATTTTCAGAAATGTTTGGAAAATGTGGATGCCTCATTCGAGGCGTCGAAATCTGATTAGACCATACCGATGATTTCGATTTTTTATCGTCATTGCGTGAAATGACGTTGCTATTTGACGTGGAAGCCATAGAATTAATGGAACATGTCTTCAGGAGTCCTTGATCATAATTATTCATCTACAAAATTTCTACCTTTATACGTAACTCGTTCATTTCTATAGGAAATGGGCTGAAATTTTTGAAATTATTGTTGAAAATTAATTTTTCAAGTAAAAATTACCAAATATCACTGATTGCTGATTAGATAAGTCTATCGATTAAAGTGTATTATTAACATTATTAAAAATGATTATTAGCTCGAATTAATTTAAGCAAATTTTTCTTGCGTAGTACACAAATATTTTCAAAAACAGAAGTGACACTTTAAAACTGACATATGAATGATTCGCTTGAGCGTTCATTAATATCTTTTGTTGTTCAAGAGCTGCTGCTAATGCTATTGACCGACGTTGACGCAAAACATCGAACTTGAAATTAAATACTTGAACTAAATTCAAATTGAGAATTATTAAATGTGCTCAAAAACATTAAAATTACCATAATCTGTATTCCAAATGGTTCTGAATGCATTCTTTAATGTGTACTTATTTGATTAAATTCAAATTAAGAATTGTTACAGAGTCATTTTCGAACTCAGTGTGAGTGTAGCTGAGATATGAGTAATCTATGCAAGTAAACTATACTAATCACAAAAATTTTTCGACACAAAAAATAAAAGTTTTAAATCTCCTAATAATAAATTGCCAATAACAATACAATATAGAAAATAATAATAAATAATAATAATAAATAATAATAACAATAATAATAGTAACAAATAATAATAAATAATAATAACCTGTTCTTGCAAAGAAGTTACTTTAGTAATGACGTTTCGGAGGTTTCGTTTTTTGGATTCAGAATTAATGTGCAAATCGCACAGGTGTCTGTGAGAGGCCGTAGGATGAGACGAGACTTGATGCGTTCCGCATTGACGTGGGCATGACTTCAAATGAATCACTTCACTTTCCTCAAATAGGATTCATATGGAACGAGATATATGGAAATAGATGGTTAAAACAGTAAAATATTGTAATATTAATGAGATATTTTTTAAATTTAGCTCTGCAGTGACAAAAGAGAATACACAATCAGACGAAAATTTATGTTTAGCAATAATAATAACGTTGATAACAGTGAAACTTAATCGTCATACTAAAATAAAACGCTAAAGATAGACTTAATGTGTGAAAATAGTCATAATTTGTGAAGTGAAAGTAATAATCACAAAAAGGGTCAGTCAGTAATGTCATACTTCACATGGAAACGTTTTACTTGAATATAATTAATATTATGATTAGAGCAGAATATTTATGATATTCTGCTCTAATTATAATTGTTATCACTAAATTATTCCTAACGCAGAAAATCACGGAATTATTTTATAATTTTTTATTCGCTGAATTTATGATATTGTTTCAGAATCAATTTCCAGCTTAATACTTTTTCTATATGACACTAATGACATATTGCGTGCAGTATTATTGTCAGTAGTTCGATGAGCATCATTAAAATATCATTGATTACTAACATTCCCGCAAAATCAAATTTTGAAAAGGAAAACCTGATCTTGGAGTGAAGCACAACGTCTAGGTGCGGTATCAGCATTATTCCCACGTGTTTCACGTACGTCAACTAATCGTCGACTAGCTTCAGTAAAACGCTGTTGGTATTTGGCTGTCCGCACCAAATCATCGTAGCTAGCAGAACTGCAACTAAATTGCTAACTAACTTTGTGCATGGATTGACGTTGAAGTAATTTGATGCTCAACTGCACAATTTTCGAAACTGCCTTACTACTCACATACAGTAACAGTAAAGATGAGGAAGACTTATAGCAATTAAATGCCAAAAAATCCAATCTTACCTATGCATATTAATACTGAGGGAGTTATTAAGAAAACTTTTGGATTTCAGAGAATATTACAACTTCGTTTTTAGACGATCATAATCAATGAAGTTCACCAAATATTTCATGACTTCAAATGGTTTTCGTGAAACAAATTTGCCTTCTCACATTCACTTCTTAATATCACTTCATAATATCATTAAAAAATATGACCTTTGACAAGCACTGTGCATTGTTGAATTTGTCGATGTCTGCTTTGGGGGCTGAACAACGCGAATTGGCACGCGCGACATCTGTAAATAGAATTTCACATGACAGTACAAAATTGTAGACAAAAATTTTGAAACTAAGCATTTGAATTTTTGGAAAATATTTAATTTTCTGCAAAAAACCGCTAATAATGAAAAATGAAAAGTGAATGGTAAGTACAAATTTGAACTGATTTTAGAAAAAAAGAAAACAAATAAAAGTTTTAAAAGTTCCAAATAGTTCCACGTGATATCGTGATTGTTTTTGATGAAAATTTTTACTTAATCTATAAATTAGTAACAGAATCACTTCATAACTTTTCACAGTCCATCATTATAAACAGAATTTTGAAGATATAATTACATTTTATGTCTAAATATCAAACGTGTCTGACGTGATATCAATGCGTCAAAACAAAACAAAAACTTATTCATACTCACAGCTCATAAAACTGTTTGTCCACACAACAAATTAAAAGAACTAATAAATTCATTACTTATATAAAATTAGATCAAAATAATAATTATTCACAAATATTTCAAAATTTCTTTTAAAGTACAATATCAAAACTTTAATCTTCAAATATGAAAAGAAAATATGATGAATTTTCAAGTAATTAAAATAAATTAGTAAAACATTCTAGATCCTTCTCTACTCTTACAATACGTTATTAACGTAGGTGTTGTTTCTGCGAGTAAACTATTCATTCACGTAAAAGGTGAAATGCTCGTAAAAAGCAAAGGAAAGAAAATATCTAGCTAGTCAAATAATGACACGTGAACTACACACTCGCTTTAAGTGTTAGCAAAAAGTGCTGAAATTAACTGCTGCAGAAATCATTGTTTAAATCACATTCTGCTGCATCTGAGACTGCAGGAGGTCAAAATTAAGTATTAAATAAATGACAAGAAAGTAGATAATATTTCTCTAAACCAAAACAGAGCAGTATCTTAGGTATTGAATTTCAAATGAACTGCTTTCACAGTTTCATATAAATTCATTAAGTAGGCAGCAAAGTAGGAATGAATATACGTGCATTATGCAGGAGACATTTCAGGCGCCTATCTTTTTCAATAAGAAAATATGTTGGAAAAATTTGCATAAAGTATTATTTAAACTGTTTGAGGAAGATGAGATAGAACTTTTATTCTAGCAAATGAATGAAGTGAACAATAAATCAAAAATGTAATGAAAATTGAAGTGGGAAGAAAAGTCAGGTGAAAGAAGTGAGCAGAGTTCTACCTTTGTTCTCGTCTGAAGGTCACGCAAAGACAATTCAACTTACATCCAGTAACGGTCTGTGTGAAATATGCAAAGAACATGAGAACATTTAGATGCAGCATACTATGAAGGTCATTTGCAATCAACACAAAAATTTGAATAAAAATGGCAGAGAGAAATATCCACGCACACATTTAATTATTTGAACAGTAAAAACTTTATCACACTATCTCAACAGATAAAAAGTTTTGTGTGAAAAGATGACAAAATTTGCATAAAAATAGAGGAGATTAAGAAAAATTTGCATGAATATATATAGCATTAATGGAAAATAAATGAGTGAGCGATTTAGAGTGACCAAATGAAGGAGCAAGAAAAGAGTGAAAAGGTGACAGTAAGAGAGCTCAGTATTGTACAACTGTCGCTCTCTGCTGCAGAGGTCAAGGAATTAATTAGAACAAACAGTGGACGAATATATCAATAATATATAAATGCACCTATACGCAATAACCGTACGATGTAAAGGTCACTCCGGGCGTGTTCAACAACTACAAAGCACATCATCACCCATGCACTTGCGTCATAAACACATTCAAATGTAATTTTAATTCACAAATGCAATTTTATTCAATTCCCTTCATTATTCTCCAAATTTATGCAAATTTTCCTTTGTTCTCATCAAAATTAAGCAAAAAAGTTGACTATTCTAGCATGTTTTTTGCAACATTCTTTATTCTCTAAAAATATGTTGAAAAAAAATTTGACCCGCCATTAAAGCTTTTTTTGAATAATATTTTCTCATTTTAATTAGTTTCCATTTTCTGTTTTCCATCAATAAAAAGTAAGATGTATTTAGTGAATAAGGAATTAGATAAAAATAGTTTAATGAAGATGAATTATTAACATAATTAAGAATGGCACCATTTAGAGGATGAAAAGAAATAAGACTACGGATAAAGGTCAAATTTTAGAGTGATTATTTTTGATCAGATCGACAAAACCTGAAACGATCATCTTCAAACTCTTTCAGGGCATTAAAGGTTCTTATAAGAGAGAGTGACTGACCTCTAAATTTGACATTTCTTTGTAATAATTTTACGTTATATCTACGGTATTTATACATCAAAAATAATTATGCAAATGAGTTTTGATAATTGATTTAAATTTATGATAGTGTAATTTTTTTTTTCTTGAGCTACTAAAATACTAAAATCATTCAGAACAATTTAAGTATATCAACGAATAATGAATATTCCTGACTGAGTTATGATTCTAAGACAAGCAGATTGATAGATTTCGCAGTTTAAATGCATTTACTTTTGCTTTCGATGGAAAATAAAATTGATGTCTGAATTACTTATAACTCAGATATATTAGCAAGAAATCTTAATAAATGAATACAAATTACGTTTAAACTAATGGTTTGTTAGCCACAGTTTGAAGAACTTCTCAATTTTGATTATTTGATAAAAATACAAATTGCAAATAAACTTTCAGATAGCTAATATAACGTGAAGGAAACTTAAAAGCAATTAACACATGCCAAATCTCAAGTGATCAGTTTTCATTCGTAATCCCACAAAAGTTTAATCTAATTTGCTTCTGCACTTCACAGATATAATTTGCATACTTGACAAACTTAAAGTTTAATTTATTTTTTCCACCTCGATGGCAAAAACTTTTACGAATACTCCTGACTTTTGCAATTCCAAATTCAATCACAAAACTTGTTCGAAATTTGAAAAACTATTTTTCAATAAGAGACAAAAGCATTCTCTAATAAGCTAAGAAATGAGTGAATGTATTTAACTAAAAAATTGCAAGATGTAAAAAGCAGATTAAATTATCGAAAGACTGAAAGAAAGCTATTTGCTGATTAGTTTAAGAAGGCAAATAAAACTCTAAGACAAGAGTTTAAATCAAAAATAAGGGACAAAGATTAATTAATGGAAAATTATTATTATTATTTAATTAATATGACTGAGGATAATCAATAACGGAGAAGACTATCATTAAGTAGAAAAACAGTGAGTATTTGATAAAATGTTAAATAAGAAATTGTAGAAGTCGAAAATATAAAACGAAGTTAGTACAGTAAGAAAAAAGTCAACAAAGTTTATTTGCGAGTAATGCTGGCTGAATGGTTTGCTTTGCCAATGCTTTGTCCTCGACAACGATGTCCTCCTTAGACTAATCCCTCAGTGCTTAATACTCGCTTAATCACGCATCGATACTTCGCAATAAAGTTGAAACTTTGTAAAGAAGTAATAAGAGTATTACAAAGTGGATAGTACGTAAGCCAACTTTACAATATGCAAAGAGTGCGGCAAAATTAGCAGTGATTCTCTTAATCAAAAAAATTAATGTTAGTAGTAATTATGATTAAAAGAATAAGTTAACTGTAAATTGTAAGCTAACAAAAATACTATCTTACGATTTGCAGACAATTTTGAAACTTATAATAAAGAGTAATACTTATTCGACAATACAATCAAGTGAAATAATGAAATAGCGAATGGATAAGGAAGGGAATTTGATGGAAGAATGATTGCTCGCACAAATTAGTATTTTGAAGAAAATTGAACGAATTTAAAAATTAATAAATCGCTCGAAATAGAATTACTTGAAAAGTGTAGAAGTGAATGGAAGTGAAATGAGGGAAAAATGAAGTGATTCTCTCTGACAAAAAAATAATAATAATTTGGGTAAGTGAAAAGAAAGCTGTGGATACCCACAGACGGAAACAAATGCTCGCTCGACTGAGGTGAGAAGAATAGACGTGGAACTGACCTAAATAGCAAAGAAGTTGAATTGTTAGTGGGTGAGACTGCAATGCCTGTTGAGAACATTTTAGTCTCGGAGATTTGACCTAATTAGCAAACTTTTATAATACCCTTTTCGTTATGTGTGCATAATTTAGCAATAAGTTCAGTCGAGTCTTCCTGCGCTACGTAATTTACACACGTGACATGTCGACTTTAAAACAAACAACTGCTCTTTCTATTGTAACTCATAAATTCGAAGGTATACAAATTAACAATGATTACAATTTAAAAATACCATCCAGTAGATAATTTTTAGAAAAATCTGTGCATGATTACTACTTCTTAATTCAGTTCAAGAAGTACTGAAGTAAAATACACAATTGAATATCCAAAATTAGCGCATATATTTAAGATGTAATTGCGATGTATAAAAGCATTTTCTTCATTCACGTGAAAAAATAAAATAAAATAAAAGTTTAAAACAGCGCATGCTAACTTTACAAAGCTGGTCTAGCTTCATATCGTTAAGGAAACTCAAATAGGATTCAAATAATTTGCTTTAATCATTTCAGAATGCAGCATCTTACTAGCAAAAAACCCATCATTGAGAAAGATTTCTCTCAAATGTGTGCAATAGAGGTCGAAGTGCAAAAAAATTCAAATAATATAGGTTTTATTTCACTACAAATTACAGTTTCCAATTATCAGAAAAAGAAAAAAGTTATTATCTCGAAGATGAGATGAAATCATTAAAATTTTTGATTTGAATCAGAAAGATTTTATCACTTGCGTCCATCATATTTTCATCATTAAATCTTTCTGAATTCAGTAACTTCGATATTCTAATTCATTAACTGGAGGGATTAATTTAATTGCGATTCTTTATGTAGTCGTAAAAAGAGTTTAATTAAAGAAATGAATCTTAACTTTGGTTTCGTGACAAATAGCACTCTTCCAAACTATCTCACAAATTTTCATATTTTATCAGGAAAAAGTGAGCAAATTTTCATCTCAAAAAATCATTAACTGATAGCAATCAATTTTTGATTAATTATTCA